TTGTAAAATTTTAATTATTACAAATGTATTAATGAGATTTAATTGTAATGCATATTGGATTCAATAAAACATCATAATGATCAAAATGGACACCTAAATAACCTTGTAGTAGGTACCAATAATAACATAAATTATTTAAACTTTTTCTGATATTAAAATTAATTTTTCCTATAGACTGTCATAATTCGCACTACTGAAAGAATAGTGACACAACTCAAAAAACGCAATTTTCGGTAATCAGCTATTTAAGGTTTAAAAAGGGAGCAACAATTTAAATTTGTATCAGATTTTTATTTAGTTTTGATAGAATTATGTTAAATAACATTGTTTTTAATAATACTTGGTGGTTAATAATTTGGATGTATTATTATTGATTCTATTAACAAATGTTTGAAAACTTTTTGACTTATGTCACTATTCATGACTGAAATAGTAATTTTTATCTATAATCACTGCTGAAAGAATAGTGACACAACTAAAAAAAAAAACATAACTTTTGGTAATCAWCTATTTAAGGTTTAAAAAGGAAGCAACAATTTAAATTTGTATTAGATTTTTATATTGTTTTGATAGAACTGTGTTAAGTAACATAGTTTTTAATAATACTTGGTGGATGATAAATTGGATGTATTATTATTGATATTATTAACACATTTTTAACCATGCATTTATGTTAGGAAGTTTTTAAAAAAATAAATAACAACAATAATGAAAATAAAATATTATTTTATTTTAACACTATCATTAAATAAAATTAAAATAAATAACCTTGTGATTGAATTAAATAAAAATAATAATACATAATATTTTGTAAAAAAGGCAACTTGCAATAAAACAATTTAATTAAAAAATTATTGTTATGAGATACCATACTATAGTTAAGACTGTAAACTTTTATAAAAATCATGGTATATATTTGGTATGTAGTTATCTTCACACAGTGACATCAGATCCCGTTTCTTATTGAATGAAATTTTGTTTTTTTGAGTATAAGCTTTTTTAATGAGTAATTAGTGGATGATGGTTTTCTACCACGAGCTCCATTATGGTATATATTAATTGTTTTGAATTCTGTATCTGAAAAACTGGTTTTGTATAAAATTGTATTTGGTTGTGTTTTTTCCACCCTTAACACTTTAATATTATTCCAAATTACTTTTTCACCATCAGTATTAATTCTAGAAAAAATTTTCTTATTACATTCTGTAATGTGTTTTATATCATAAAAATCAGAATACCCTAATTCTTTAACCTTAAATGGGTTTCCTGATTTTTTGGCTGTTTGAATTAATGATACTTATTGTGTTGGCAAGTAAATAGGCCCTGACTTTAACCTAACCGATGAGATATAACGTTTAAATCGTCTAATATTTAAAA